CTATAAACACTTTCGATTCTTAGAACTAAGTATACTTAAGTGTTCTTTTTTGTTACATGAATAAATGTATTTTGTAACTTAAAAAAAATTAAAGTTTCTCCTAATTAAATAAATTTAACGTTTCATTAGAAGAAAATAAGTGACAGTTTTATGTTGGTCAATAACATCTTGGGTGCAGTCACCGGTAACCGACTTTTGCCGGGCAAAATGATTTACTCTAAATACATATAATACGGAGCACATCTGATTACCCATACCGTAAGTAAAACGATGTCTTTGAGGTCAGTTTTCTTCGACTGTCACGAACGACGGAAGAAAGACGGATATCGGAAAATTACGTATTCGTGCCACACAGTTCGGTCAAAGATGGTTTAAGTCTAGATTTGTGCCGTATTCAGAATGTAAATTTTGCGATTAGTATAACGGCACATCGAAAGAACCTCTCATGAGGAGGACTCTCTCTGCGTTAGACTTTATACACGGCAACAAAATCGTTGACCCACGACGACGACTCGACCCGCTCCTTTTCTATTGTTACTCTTTTTTTTTTTTCGTTGTTCTTGTCGTGTTACCCTAACCACAGAACATAATATAGTGTAATAATATCCGAGATTCTCGTAGGAAATATTACTTCCTCCAACTCAATATAACTCAAGAGAATTTATGGGGAACTTAAAAGAAAAGAATTTGACCACATATTATCGATTTTTTATGTATTTCAATTATGGGTTAGCAATTTTATAGTAAATGACTTAAATTATATTGCTTAACAAGACCTTTGTTCCTTTTTTTTTTATTTATAACTGGTTGCTTTTGAGATATATTTTCCTCTCTCCCGCATTTATGGAGATTTATATCATTTAAGTATTCTATTTGGTGTTTTGACTCTTAATCTTCAATATAATACACCTTGAAGTAATTAAAGTCTTAATTACTCTTTCTGTGATAAAAGAAGTGTTATTTTTCTATATTTCCTGAAATCTTGTTATTATATTGGTATCTTGTTATTTATTTCTAAAAATATCGATGTGGCCACATAATGAAAAGTAAAAAAGTTTCTAAAGTTGCACCACTAAGAAGAAAGTGTTATCTAAAGAAAAAAAACTCGCCAAAATACAAATACTGAAACTTCCCAGTTGTTAAAGAACCTTGCCAAGATTGTCTCCTTTTACAGATAAAACAAAATTATATGTCAGATTCTACATATTTTGTGGAGTCAATTAAAAGAATAAAGCTTGATCCACCTTGATAAGTTTCGATGTGGAATCTCTATTTACCAGAGTGCCTATCAAAGATACCATGGATGGTCTTCTCTAGATGCTCATTTCGGAGGACTTACTGAAGTATACAGGGTGTTTCGGTGACTTGGGGAACAAATTTAACCACATATACTAGAGTGAAAATGACGACGATTCATGTACAAAAAAATTAGTAAAATTCTTCAAATTTCAAAAATACAGGTCATCAAAGTTAGGAAATTTTAACACATTTTTCCAAATATATTAAATACTATTTACAGTAGAACGCTGAAATTTGGTACAGTATAATCCAATGTAATGTAAAATCGTTAGGTAATTTAGGGTTTGGATCGGTCCGCGGGAACAATGCTATACAGGCTGTTCCTAAGGTTTGTTTGCTCAGAACTTTTTTATTCTATCATAACCCTACATTTATTTTTGCAGTTTCTAATAGTAAATTTAGTTTAGAAACTTTTATTACTCTTAGATAATATTGATAAAAATCACCGTTTTCGTGTTAAATGCAAAAATGTTGGGTTCCGATTTCAATAATAGCACAAAAAAAAAGAAATCTAAGTTTTTGAACGTTTCCTTTAGTATTTTTTATACTTGTCTTGTTATTTTATGTACTTTTTTTATTATTCCTGTTAGTGTTGTCGTTTTTTGTTTATTTTTTGTTGATTTTTAATTTATTGTTTTTGGATTCTTTTATTAAACCAACTAAAACAAATTAAAAATGTGATTTAGCTAAATCTACACTTTTACATGTTGCATACATAATAGTTATGACAGCTCAGTTCGATTTTCACTTGTCATTGCCAATTCAGATTATTTATTTAGTTATTCTTTTTAGTGTTATTGAATTCGGAGCCTAACATTTTTGCATTTAATACGAAAACGGTGGTTTCTATCAATATTCTCTAAGATTGATAAAAGTTTCTAAACTAAAACTGCTCTTAGAAACTGCAAAAATAAATGTAGTGTTATGATAGAATAAAAAAGTTCTGAGCAAACAAACTTTCGGAATAGCCTGTATAGCATTGTTCCCGCGTACCGATCCAGCTCAAAAATTGCCTACAGATTTTGCGTGATATTAGTTTACACTGTACCAAATTTCAAAGCTTTACCATAAATAGTGTTTAAGATATTTAGAAAAATGTGTTAAAATTTCCTAACTTGGATGGACTGTATCTTTGCAATTTGAGGACTTTTACCAATTTTTTTTTACATGAATCGTCATCATTTTCACTCTAGTACATGTGGTTACATTTGTTCCCCGAGTCACCGAAACACCCTGTATTCTAGGACTAGTGGAATACTATTTATCATGAACATATTTCGGCTATGGGATTACCTTTGTCACCGGTAATCGAAAATTTCTTCATGGAGATTGCGAAGAGTCTGAGGAAACCAAAGCTAAGATTTCGTTACTTGGATAATAGCTATAGTTCATTGTTTTCAACAACATAAATTTTATAAGGGTCCTAGATAATACCAACAGAAACCCTAAAAAATTTACATTGACAAGTATTATAGAAAAAACGAACTATATCTGATCTGGCAGTATGGAACACCATGATTAAATTTACTATGGAAACGGAAGCTGCAAAACAGTTGGGATTCCCTGATGTTTTGGTTGCTAGAAAGACAGATGTGGGCATGGAATTAGGAGTGTATTGGAAGAAAATGCATACAAAGAACAGAGATTTACAAGCTTCATCCCATCACCATTTACAACAGAAGAACTCAATAATCCAAGCCTTGTTCCAGCGAGCAGAAAGGATATGTAACGGAAAGAATTTCAAGAAAGTGGTTCTGTACTCTAGAAAAACGCCTACATTCTGAGGTATATCTAGCTAGCCACCAAACGACGAAAGCTGATTAGTTTAACCAGATGTTAAAAAATTTTTAATCAAAATTTATGTTTAATACTATTCCATTTAAAACAACAAAGTTGTAGTCCACTTCTGGTAGACCAGAAGTCATTGCAAAAAAATCTTTACATACAGCTTTACATTGCTTGAGAGAAAAAGACTTAAAAGTAAACAATCAACATGTCAAACCTATACAGAATACTCAACGGACTAAAAATGTTTCAATCTGGATTCCAAAACACTTTATGGTGAGGATTTTTGAAGCTGGAGCTAGTCAAGTTCGACGGAGTGAATGTAAATTTGTATTTGTAAGAGTATTGAATACTTTGTATCTTTATCCAGGTACATAAGGAACGTTTTCACCTCAAATCGCCGAGGTTGCTTGCGGGCGAGGCTCTAGAATCCTTCAAAGCTGATGATTTCGTATAGATATATCAAATCTAGCGCCTCGCCCGCAAGCGACCTCGGCAGAGTGAGGGAAATTGTTTTTTATAAGAGAGTGGAATTCTTTGTATCTTCACAAAGATATACAAGAAACGATTTCATCTCAAATCGCTGAAGTTGCTTGCGGGCGAGGTGTTAGAATCATTCAATGATGGAATGAGGGAATTGGTCATAGTCTTGAAGAATCAAATGGAAAAAATACGAATGATTTTATTAATTTTCTGTAAATTTAATAATTTCTAGCCCATTATTCAATTGAAGTACAAGTTATCTATTTGTTATATTGAGTACAACTTCTAATCAGAGCACTTAAAACAGCAGCAACCATAGCAATTAACTCGCCGTTAAATTAACAAGAAAATAGCAAATTGTAATATTTCAATTATAAGCCTTACTTGCTGATTGGAACTATTATACATATAACATTGAAACACGAAAGCTTTAAGGTTTGGGGTACCGACTTGGTATCATTAACAAGCGATTTGTTATGCAGATAGATAGATTGTAATTCAGATAAAATTTCTGGAACTAACTGACATAATGTTTCTGACACTTGATAAGGGTGTTTCAATGATACTCATATTTTCCAATGTTTTTGATCTGCTTAGGTAATTCTTCAATTCATAAATTTGCATCACCGAATAGTGATGAATAGTATCTTTGACATGTACCTCTGGGGAAATGTGTACTACACTTTGGGAAACACTGCTTTATGTGGATGATTTCTNCTTAACAAGAAAATAGCAAATTGTAATATTTCAATTATAAGCCTTACTTGCTGATTGGAACTATTATACATATAACATTGAAACACGAAAGCTTTAAGGTTTGGGGTACCGACTTGGTATCATTAACAAGCGATTTGTTATGCAGATAGATAGATTGTAATTCAGATAAAATTTCTGGAACTAACTGACATAATGTTTCTGACACTTGATAAGGGTGTTTCAATGATACTCATATTTTCCAATGTTTTTGATCTGCTTAGGTAATTCTTCAATTCATAAATTTGCATCACCGAATAGTGATGAATAGTATCTTTGACATGTACCTCTGGGGAAATGTGTACTACACTTTGGGAAACACTGCTTTATGTGGATGATTTCTCAAGCTATAACTTGATTTATATAAATATAGGATGACAAAAGTCTCGTTATTTGTCTTTCATTTGAGATCAAAAGCTTGTGAACCAAAGAATAAAAAAGGAATTATAATTTGTTGTGTTATTAATTCACTATAAAACAAAAGCGTCAACTAAAATGAAATTATATCATTAATAGTGTGGCTTGAATTGTGGTTTTTAATTCTATTTTCTTATCATTTGTATTATTTTAATTATTGATGTTTTTATATGAACCTAAATAAACTTAAAGTAAAAGCTCGTTCGAAAAACAGGTGAAGATCTCGCGGCAAAAAAGGATTAACTCTTTAACGTACCACTTACCTAGATATACATATAGCGAATTTAAACGTTGCTTCGGAATCCAAATGTGAAGGTTTTACATCTAAAATTGGTCACTTTATAGTCAATAAATCGACTTGCTCCTTTTTTTCGTATCAAATTTTTAACAACATAAAATAAAAAAGTTTTTTAAAGATTTTTTTATTTTTCACTTGAATCATAGAATTGTCCACAAAAAAGTTTTCAACTCTCAATCAAATTTAAGAAAAAAAAATTATTTTTGTTTGTATCATTTTATTTATAAAGCTTTTTGTTTTTAACGTAAGTTATACACGAGATATATCTATTAAGAAGGGGGAAATTTGTATGGCGACAGTGTTACCACCGCGACGGACCGTCTGTTACTGACTGGATGCACGGCATTTTTGTGAGAGTAAAAACCGGTTGCGTTCGGGAGATTTCGCGGACGTCGGTGGAGGTTTCACCGGTGGACGCCCGAGGAGCAAAAAGAGGAGACCCCCTCCGCCATACTCCTCTTCCTCCAGTTTTATCCTTCCTATCAACCTCTCATCTTCTTTTCGTCTCTCAGAGAACCGGACATATTTTTGACGATTTTGACCTCAAGATCCAACAACGATGATGCAATATAGTTAAACTTGTATTCACAAAATACTTTTAAGTCACTATTAATATTAGCGATTTGTATATATGTTGCTATTTAGCATTAAATTGTTGTATATCTTTCATTGAACTAAAACTAGAACTAACACTAGACCTAGAACTAGAAACATTCGGGTTTAGCTGTGCGTCCTCAGATGAAACTTATATAGTTCTAGATAAAGTGTTAGTTCTAGTTTTACACTAGCACTGTTACTAGAATTAACACTATACCTAGAATTAGAATCATTCGGGTTTAGCCGTCTTGAAAGACATGCGGCTAAACCCAAATGATTCTAGTTCTAGGTATAGTGTTAGTTCTAGTAACAGTGTTAGTGTAAAACTAGAACTAACACTATCCCTAGAACTAGAATCATTCGGGTTTAGTCGTCTTGAAAGACGTGCAGCTAAACCCGAACGTTACTTACAACGGATTAAACGGAAGTAACGACGATAAAGTAACGAACGGTCCCCGATTAAAAACGGGGACTTTATAAGGTTAACTTTTATTATTTCATTTCCCAGTTCATAGAAATGATTTTTTCATAAACTTTAAGGTCTGTTTCCGGTAGAAAAATGAATTCCAAATCGAAAATAAAGAGTAACTTTTTGTCGTATTATCTTTCGTTTTTGAGATATTCCCCTTTAAAACAATCAAATTCGACGTTTTTTGCAAAAATTAAGAATTCCAAGATGAATATCTCAAGAATGAAGGGTGATATAAAAAAATGTTATTCTTCTATTTCGATTTAGAAATCATTTTTCTATATGATTAGTGCATAATATTACCTATAAAAGTGATTGTTATTAAACACCATTCGAAAAAGTGATTAAAAACGGGGACTTTATAAGGTTAACTTTTATTATTTCATTTCCCAATTCATAGAAATGATTTTTGCATAAACTTTAAGGTCTGTTTCCGGTAGAAAAATGAATTCCAAATCGAAAATAAAGAATAACTTTTTATCGTATTATCGTTCGTTTTTGAGATATTCCCGTTTAAGGCAATCAAATTCGACGTTTTTTGCAAAAATTAAGAATTCCAAGGCGAATATCTCAAGAACGAAGGGTGATATGAAAAAATGTTATTCTTCTATTTCGATTCGACTTTATCGTCGAATCGGAACCGAACGTTACTTTACTTACATTTTCACCATAGATTTATTTCAAATAACTTATAGACATAACATTTAAAAATACCGATTAAGAAATATGATAAGAATGTTAATTAGTTAAAATAAATTGTAAATAACTTACGAAATATTTTAAGAATATCTTAAAGTTCTTTTGAAACCCATGAAATTCTTAAATTAACTTTAAAGGTTTTAGGCAAAACTTGTTATGTTCGTGACATATTTTATATTTAAAGTGTTATTATCAGGACCTGATTTAATAAATTAATTTTAAAAGGAGAAACGTATATTTGATAGTTTTTATTTTAAATCCGCCTCTGATTATTACCTAATTACATTTTCAATAATATTTACTCCCAATCATGAATAATTTATTCACTTATACTAATTAAGCTCTCACCGAAACGCATCTTACGCAACAAAATTTCCACATTAAGCCTACATGTATAATTCAAAAACCTAAACCAAAATGATTACCTAACTAAAAAATGAAAAATAAAACAACAAAACTATAAAAGCAGAAAGATCCTTATTATTATTCTTGTCAACTCTATCATTTAATCATCATCAAGGAGCACACAAGGTGCATAACAAGTCGAACGTTATCTCTATATTGAGTTGTTTATCGCAATGCGGGTTGAATATTTATCTCTTGTGTTATCTTTCTTGTAGTAGCATTCGTACAAAGTATAATTTTACCCGTGTGCCCACAAATAATGTTTATAGACGGTGTATAGCGCTTTCTTCCTGTTTCTATCGCTTAATTGAGTTTTCGCTTGACAATCTCCTAGCAGTTACTCCGCTACATCGGCTTTTGCCAGGTTATTAAAAAGCGACGCCGTTTCATTTGTAACGAAAACGTTTACAACGCCCATTGCCAGATAACTAAATAAATTACGTTGAAACGTCTCGGGGACACGTTGCTATATTGGATAAAGTTACAACTTTACCTTGTCACCACGCCTTGCACCATAAATTATAGATGTCCAAATGTGTATAATAACAGAGAAAACCTTTGAAAACAGGTGGAATACATTTAATTACGATAGTTTAACAAATTACACCTCAAGGTTTTTTTTATAATAAATGTTTGAAATGATGATATTACTCTCAACAAAAAAACAACATAATAAATTAACATTTAATTAAATAATTAAATTTTTGACGAGGTCCTTTTCCATTTTTTATGGTCTAATAGCTTTTGCAAAAAAAATATCTTATATTACTTATTGGTAATACCAAGAGACAATAATTTTTTGACAAAATCTAAATGTGCAATTAATAATTTGCATATTAGAGGGTGTCAAAAACATTGCAGTAGAGGATCTGCGGAAGAACAGGTCATGTTGTAACCCTTCAAATGATTTTCTGCAAAACCAGAAATTTCGGCTACATTTTCTGTGATTACTTACTGTTCAACGTCGACAACAACGTTACATAGGATGGTGTTTAGTAAAGAATCCGATTCTGTTTGAGGATGCATGATGAAATTTCGCAATGTTGAAATTTCCGTAGGTATTTGAATGTTTCAAAGATCTTGCAAAGAGCTTTCAGGATGGCAGAAAGCTTTTTAAGGTGATAATTCAAGATGTTATTGATGATCAACTCATTATCTTATTAGTGCAGTCTGATGCTATCTCACTTCAATTTTTTTGATGTTATTCTTGGCACATACTTGTCTTGTATAAAATTGAGGATTATACAATGGTTAAATAAAAGATTATTACGTTATATAATATATATTAAATAGTATTCACAAGACTACACATATTTTCTCTTAATTCTAAATCAAAAAGTATAAATAATAAAAGAAAATCATGAATAGAGAACATAAGAACACATATCTAAAACAATACGAGGTTCGAAATGCGCCCTAAAGACTATATTTTTTAAAAATATAGTCTTCGGCAGAAAAAAGTCTTTTTCTAGATTAATAAAATAAAAAATATCGAAACCGATTTGGTTCAATAATGTACAAATATTGCTCAAATTGTTAGTTGCAAAAATATATGTACAAATACATTTTCTTTAAATCTATTTTTCCTCTCGATACTACTCTTAATTTAAAAAGTTATTTGGTTGCAAAATGAACTTGAAAATTTCTTAAATGATTTGAATAAATAAATACCAAGGTGAGAAAACTATTGTAATAGATATAATAAATACTGTGCACATAGTAACTACTATAATCTATCAGAAAAAAATAATTCAAAAAAAAAGAAAAAAAAATAACAGCTTTATACACGAAGTGCTTATAAAAAAACAAGACTAATAAAGTTGAAATGTTTACGACCTAATACAAATCACTTTTTAAAAATATTTGGCATCATCTCGTTCTTTTTTTTTTATATTAACATTATAATAAATTTATTATCCTCATCTCGTTTTAATTTATTTTTTTTAAAAACGATTGTTAAATTAATATACAATCATTTATGGTACACACGATTTTGTCAAAAATATATATCTAAACTCTACTTGGAGTGGGGATACTTCAAATACATGTTCTATACACTATTATATTAATATATTTATATATAATATATTTTTATGTAGAAATGTTTTTTTTGTTTCAAACAATCTTTCATCTTAATTTTAAATATTTTTTTCATTTTTTCTCCCATAAAGACATCGCCGTCGAAATAGAACTCGAAATTCGATTCTCTTAAAAAATAGAATATTTTCGCAAAAAGGTAACTGCAATCTCATTAAATAATAAATTAGCATAAAAAAACAAACAAAACTACTGGTACGTATATATATAAAATAAAAAATAAACAAACCTTATTATCTAAACAATTTCACACTTTTGGTGCTCTCGTAAAGTCCATTATATAAAAAAAAAACAACACTTATTTATTAGGAATAAATTAAAAAATGGCAGTTTTCACTCTTTTCGGGAGTAATTCTTTTAAAAATATTATTATAGCGCGAGCGGAATTATAAATTAACTAATAAATACCTTAAAATTTAACTTATATTTAGATTAACTAGCTGACTGTGAACGGATAATCCGCCCTATAAATTTGTAACGATGAAAATATCAAATCAAAAAAATATAATTGCTATTTTCTAGTTGATCAATTTAATGTAAATTGACTGTAATACAATTTTGATCAACTTGAATTAAAAATTTAGGAAACAAATTTGTTATTACTTCATGGATAAACGATAAAATAATAGCGTTTATAAGTTCATTGAGACACATTTATTATTATAATTTTTTTTTAGATTTTCTCATCGTTACAGTAACAAAAATGAATTGAAAAAATTTTCGCTTGGGCCAGGAATCATTCTTTGTACTGTAAATGGTTGTGTTCTTTTTTTTTCTCTTTTTCCTTGGGTAAAATTCTTTACATACAACGAGATCAATATAGGCACTATTGATTGATAATCTATGCATGTACAAAAAGGATTACAACGCTATTGCTAATACTGTTCGATAATAAATATACTTTTTAATATATACTTTCTAATACACACCGTTTATTATTAATAGTAATTTATATTATCGTAAAAATTCTCGTGTACTGGTGGTTATCCTTTTTGGTTATTTTTGTTTTTCAGGTTCAGCTTTTAGTTGGATAAAAGAATTTTTCGTCGCCGTAAGGGAAACGAGTTCAAAGTGAACAATGAAATTGCATAATATGAGTGTTGAAGATTAAATAGCAACATTACCTACTTAAACCACCACACTCAACACAACATTCTTAGCCTTACAATTTCAATGTTCCAATGTATCAAATAAGAAGAAGCTTTACAAAGAAATCGTTATATATACAATTTTATAATATTAATTTTTTAAATTTGCATTCAGACATGTTAATATAAATTTAAATTTTATCATCAAAATGATTGTTGCTCTTGTATAAAATGACCTTTGTGACTAAGCAGGGATTTTTTTAATTTAAAATTATTTTCACAACCCCAACAGCCCTACTTCCGCTAAACTCTGTCTTTGTTTTAACCGCGTCTTCTCCTCCCAACGATCGCGACCGTGTTTCGGTTGATTCAAATTTCTGTGTTGATAAAACACTAATGATATTCTGGTGGGTGACAATCTATTCGGTTTCTTTAATGCCGTGGTGGCGTGCATTTCATGTTTGGCACATTCGAAAAGCACGCTACCATGAGTTAAAGCGATAGCTACACCACCCACCTCCAAATCGGCAAAAGACTCCAAGTTATCTATTACATCCACCACCTTTCCCAAAGTTTCCGGTTGTTGCGGTTGTTGTTGCACCTCAGATACTTGATCCCAAGTTATTGGATGATGATAATTGTGATCTTGATGATGATAATGGTGGTGGTGGGTGTTGGGGTTAATATTTTGGTTATTATTAAAGTAGTGAATTGGCGGAAGTGGTTTTGGAGAGTACATAAATGGATGGTGATAATTTTGCGATGAGTTTATATTGACCAGAGGAGAATGAGCTGGTTGATGATGGTTGTATGATGGATGAATGTGGGGAATTGGTGAGGTGGGTAATTTTATTGGGTAAGGATTCGCTTTGATGGGTGTACTTGTGGAAAAGAGATGGCCATTATAAATACTGCTGTTGTTTCTATTAGTAGTATTTAAAATCCCTGTACTATAATCGATTATATTATAAGCAGTAGTATTCGTAGAGTTTATTACTGAATGACTGCTCCTAATACCTGAGCTATCTTGTACTTTGTGTGAAAAGTTACTTTGTGCTTGGTGATTAATTACGTCAAATCTGTTGAACGTCTCGTTTTTAGGATATGCGATATTCAAGGCAGTGATCGCGTTATTCGGAATAAATAATACTGGGGCCTTCGCCATGGGCACGATGGGCGAATCTAATCGACTACTAGATACATAGTTGCTTTGCAAAACCCGATCGTTTTCGTGCTGTTGAGTTTCTGAAAACGATGATACATAACCTGATGAGGACGACGAAGACCTTGAGGTATTGTCTTTTTTAACGGGCGTATTAGGATTGTCATCATCCTTCTTTTTACGACGCCGACAAGGCTGAAGGGGAACTGTCCGCATTCTCACTTCACACTGGTATTTATTTAGAATTTCAACACTACCATTTTTATATTTAATTTCTTGATCTTCTTTAGAACCAAATTCATCTGTACTATCGATCGTGTATAAAGGCAAAACGTGTAATTGTTCATCTTCTGGCTTAGCTATACTTCTTTCTTTTGTTAATGTAACAACTGCTGTTAAACCGTTCATCATATTGTGAGTATCCTTGTGGGCGTGAGCACAAAAATCAACGCACGCTGTAACACCCGAGAATGGTTTTCCTTCTTGAGAACCCAACCTACAGTCGGAAGCGTTTTGTTCGTGTACACATTGATTTTTAAATGATTCGGGTGCCACGGTTTTGTAAAGAGGTGTTAAAGAAGTACTTAATTGTTGTAATTTCATTTCTACGTGTTGTTCTTCGGTTTCTTCCGTTAATCTAAATTTCCTCGCGTTTTTTGATTTGGCAAATTTACAACCGTTGTAATACATACTCCATGAGCACCCAAAAGAAAAACTAGCACCGCAGGTTTTTGGATCTAAACCTTGGCAACCGCAATTTCTTTGTCCATTAGTCGCACATCTTCTTGTTGTTGGTAAACCGAATTTATTCAACTTTTCTGTTAATGTCGCATATAAACCATCCGCGTCTGCTTGGGTTACTCCTTCCCAAGCAACGATACATACAATTATAAAAGCTGATTTGCACACATGTCCCTGACGATGTTTTACTACTATTAAATATTTTTCTTCATAATTCGATCTTCTAATAATCTGCAAAAAAATAAAAAAGGAAGTCTTAGTAAATTAATTCGAAAATTAACAATGTTATTTCATACCCATTTGGCTAATGGACAGCCTTGAGGAGTTTTCCCTTCTTTGCCTGTATATCGGACTTTTTCTATTCTAATCGCTTTTCCATGTACCCCAGCTCTTGTCTCAAAATCTTTTCTTAAATTGATTAAACTGTTAGAACATCCTGTACGAAAAAATTAATATATTAATTTACCAAATCTCAAAATACACCTAAAATATTTTATATACCTAAATGTGTATAATAACTTCCTGGTTCTGGAGGTAATTGTCCCGATGGAAAACAATTACACATCGGAATTTCAATTTTAGTTGAATCATCTTCTGATTTATTACGTTGTTGTACTGGCTGTACAGATTGTTGAAGATGATTAATGTTTGATTGTTGCTGGACCTGATTAAAATGTTGCTGATGTTGATGACCACCTTGATAACTATTTTGATATTGATTGTGTTGTGGAAAACCATATTGTTCATGTTGTAGATGTGGTATTGAATACGCCATATTCGTAGGCGAATAATTTTTTACAAGTAACCTATGCGTAGTTAATCTATTTGGAGTTACGTTCGGAGGTAGGTAATTTCCAGGGATTTGATTCCCCAGATACGGAACGCCACCACCGTCATCCATTATGTAAGGAAGATGACGATGGTGGCTATACCATAAAAAATGACCGGTAGATTTGTTTTCTGTATCACCCATTTGGGCTTCCTCTCCTACTTTTCTTTCTCCTGTGATCTGTTTATTCAATATCATCGTTTTTATGCGCGAATTCAATTCAACTCTATTATTGGCCTGCGCCGAAGAATAATGATCGTTTAAGTTCTCCGATTGTTCGTGATCTGTTTGAGAATGCATTTTACCCGGATCCTGACTGTGATGTTGCTGTATATGCGGTTCCCACATCATATTTTCTGCCCCAAGCGGCCATTCCTGAGTTTGATGTTGAATACTTTGAGTATCTCCGCTGAACTGGTTGCCTGGGTACCCACTAGAGTTGTGTGAAGCTAGCTGCGGACTGCTGCTCACTTGTGTGTACCCAGGCTTCTCGTTTCCCGAACTCGCATTTACATAAATCGGATTCGCGTTCGAACTCGGACTGTAACAACTTGTAGTTCCGTTCGATTGGAAATTTTGAGTATTACTCTGTTGTGGCGCGTTTACAACGCTATTCACCGAACTAGGTCTTGATTGATTGTCCATCGCACCACCCGTTGGTGTTGACGGCGCCACATAAGACTGATTACTCATGTATTCCTGATACTGACCCGATATGTTACTTCTTGGAGTTGAAGGCTGTTGAGGAGTTTGCGGCACCGGACTGGGCGTATGCGAATAACTACCATTTGTACGCGGTGTTAATTGAGGATGTTCGGTGGCGCTTGGAGGTCTTGGATTAGTTAGAACTTGTACAGCACCAGTGTAAAAAGTATTTGTCTCAAATCCCGGTTGTTGATACGTTGTTTGATAGAGACCATTTGGATATTGTTGTCCATATGGTTCTAAAGTTGGAACTGCAGGTTGAGCAGGTGGTGGTATTTGCTGTATGAATTGTCCTTGAGGCCAAGCTAATTTAAAAACAAATTAATTAATTAAAAAATCAAGGGTAACATTTTTGTTATATATATTTTCAACAACGCATTTCATTCTAATGTCTCAATCATATCTGGGGTTTTTGACTGTGTTTCAATATAAACTTGAAATCTCATGTGAGTCTTTCAACTGACATAAAAGAACCTGCGTGGTGAACCTAGAAAGGACCTAGTAAACCTAGTAGAAAGAACTTAGTGTGGATACAAAAGTGGCCGAATATACAGGATTACGCTTAATATCACAGTTATGCTATGTCAAGAGGACTTTTTGGCGTTCAATATATATAAATATACAAGCAAGCAATAATGCAGAAGTAATAAAAAGGGAACAATTAACAAGGAAAAGATATCGTTGCTCTTTTATGGTAACGCTGATAGCAATACACTAAAAGATCGCATCTACAACCTCCTAGTACACTATTCATCACAACAACAATTTTCTCTGACATTTTTTATAAGCTTTGCGCCAGAAGAATAAAAATACTATAAAAACATATTGAAGTTGCATATCTAGCTGATGAGTGCTAATTGGTAAATGCGCATCATATTTGTAGCTGCATACACTTCTATCACTAGATCCATCATCTAGATCTTCAGTGATACAATGGATCAAGGCGTAATTAGTGCCTTTAAAATAAGCTATCGCTGCAGATATTTAATTGACAGTATGGTGATTATTGGGAATGAGCAGGATATAAAAAGTGATGACCAGGGCAATATGCAAACTTCAAAGGTAGATTCCTGTACGTGATTTTAGCGATATGAATTAGTGTTAAACCTGCACTGACATGGTATAACAACGCTTCCAGCTCAATCAGGATAGAATTAAAACCACTCGTTAATTTTACCGAGTATTACAAATAACATCAAATAATTTTCTGCTGTAATCTGTTTTACCGGCTTTATTTCGAATAATTTATAAGTTTCAAAATCTTCGTGAATCCCGCATCTTCGGATATTCCATTTTGTGATTATCTCTTTTTTCATTACATACGCCATCTCCACCACAGCTTTAATAAGATAAAAGTTTGTGATTTTTGTAATAACATAGAATGAAATGCATACTGTTGTGGTACAGTAAGTGTTCTATACGCAATAATACGTGACCATTTCAATGCTTCTTTCCCTGTAGGAAAATATATGTATATCCCTATTACTTACTTTGGGTTGTCTCTGCTTGCCAAACTGGGGTTGTAAACCTAGTTGGATCCGCGTAGAAAGGCATTGGGGCCTGAAAAAAGAAAAAACGTAATAACCGATTATAGGATTAGAGAAGAAAAAATCCGAATAGAGTTTGTGAATAAAATTGCATCATAATAGAAAATCCCGATGTAAGTTTACGGTTATGAATGTCATAACAATGAAACAAGTGTTTGTGTGTGTGGAGGCAACGACCCGTATGAAGTGGGAGGGTGACCAAATAAATAAAACAAAGCCAAAGGTCGCACCCTTGAAAAGTTGCGGGTCCCCGCGGACGGGCCCCCGATTTAACAAACAGCGGGTCGGTCTTTTTCGCCCTTTTACCCTTCTCAGACTGTGCGGACCTACCCCAATCCGGGGCGTTATCTTCCCCATTCTGGATCCCCCACGAACCCAGACATGACCACACTCCGACTCACCTTCCCTATTTAATCTCAATTTGTCAAGTGTCGGAGGGATAACTCGGCATCATTTTAACACTACAATTTAGCCCCCAGTTAATCGGTACCACGCTCCCTTTATTAAAATGACCACCCGGTATATCAACGAACATAAACGTTTATTCTTCTTTTACTGTTTGTTTATTATTTTTAGTTTTATCGGTCAAATCGGAATTAAAACAATTTATCTTCTACAATAACACTGATAATAAAAGATAACTTTTTTTTGTTATTAAAGAATGGTGTTGATTTTATGTGTACTTACCATTGGTTGTTGTTGGACGGCTTGTTCTGGTTTTAGCATATGGACAGGCTGAGGACTTGGTCGAGATGCTGGCACACTGCTCTCTGGAACTGATGTGTTAGAAAGGGCAACAGACGCTGGCTTTCTTCCTCGATAGCTCTGAAACGCACCAACAAAAGAATTTGAAAATCATCGTCATTAGGGACTTTCGATAAGTTAAAAAAAAGACAAGCATATCCCTCTTTACGCCCGGAAATTATGCTTATTCACGTCCACGATGGTCTCTTGCCCTCATTTCAATTTTTAACACGTGTCACTAAGAATTTTTATTAATACTAACTTTTCCCTGGAGAATGAAGTTTATCGGAAGAAGTAATGATCACAACTAAATATTAGGGAAGCTAGTTCAGGTAAAATTTTCCTTGGTTGAACTCAAATTATTAAGATGCTTATGGTACATGATCTTCATTGACGTTTGAATAGAACAGAAACCCATTCAAGAATGAAATATTATCTCGATCGCAATTCTTTAGGAATTCCCCCTATATAAGTTCTTTTACCTGACTCAAAATATTTTTGTATTGAATCACATTTTTTTTGATAAATGATGATTTAATATTTTTATATTATGGATTATCGGGAAAAAAATAAATTATCGTCAGGTTTGTTGATTGAGAGTAAAGCAAATAATGATATCTTTTTGGTCCATATCTACTCTTCATAGGAGATAAAACTTAAATTTCTACCAAAAGTGGAACCATAAAATAGAAAATAAAATAAAAAAACTTTTGTAATACGAGATTATTAAAATTTAGGTCAATAGCCTGAAGATAAAGATTACCATCACTATATAAAATATTCTTATGGTAAATATAAAGTAAAAAAAGGTAAACAAAAACTGGTTTTTAATAAATACATAAATAATATAAAAAGTGGTTTGTATTTTAGATTTTGATACGAGATGGAGTCCCAAAAAAATTCTAAAAATAATATGTATAATGCGACCAACGCGTAGCCGAATTTTCAACAAATTCCTTTGGATTCAACATTCCATTCGTTTTAAATTGTATATAGGTAAACATAACATTGCGACTCCACATCTGAAAACATACATACCAATATCTTCACTTAAAGTTTCGATTTTTATTGAACCGACCGCGAAAAAACCTCGTCTGACACAACATATATTACTGTGGCAACTAAAACACAGTAGTGTACGTGCTTTCAACGTAATAAATTAATGTGAATAAAGTGAACGCTCGGTCCGGTTTGGCTTTCCCGCTTCCACTGCATAACATTTGTTTTGGACGTACGTCTTTTATACGAATGCACGCCTACGATTTTAAACGAACAACCGCGAACGACGCCGGCGTTTGTTTTCTTATACTTCTTTTATTATCGACGGCATTTGTTATCGACAAAATTTCATAGGCAACTTTTGTTTCAATCCCTAAAGCTCTGTATAAGAAGTTGCCTATAACAACCAATTTTTAAACATTTTTTTAAAAAAAATAATTTTAATTAAATTAAAATCTGTATAACAAAAATATTTATAAAAATAATAATTAAATTAAGATTGATTCATTAAATTCGAATTAAAAACGAATTAAAATATATCTAGAGTATTAACGCGAACATAATATTTTGCGCGCGCTGTACTCGGGGCAATTGCAAATTTCGCTGGAATTGTGGAGCATGCGCCACTAAAAAATCAATAGGGAGTACATTCATGGCTAAAATTTCAGGTTCTCGTAGTGGATTCACGTGAATATTTTGAGTTTGGTATTTTCTGCGACACAAAAACCGCAAATAAACACCCCCCACCATACAAAATTAAATTTATGTCCCCAAATACAAAAAAAATCGGTAAAACCACTCGTATACTATGATTAATTAATAAAAACACAGTGATTAAATGGAATATTCTCAAATAATCAACCCCTTTGTGTTCATTGATCACGCTAGTACCCGTTAAAACCGTATGACTCATTAAGATTTAATGAGTCATACTATTATTGTTGACACACAAAAAAATCACACAAAGAATAAATTCTACATGAAATTTAGTGCAAAAAAGACTTCCTTTTTTTATAAAGAAGCCAACCTACCCCTGAGCCTCTCCCTTTGCCCCGGCCTCTCCTAGATTCTCCACGTATAAAACTTTGGTCTCCATAAAGGTTCTAAAACAAAAACAAAAAATAAAAATAAATAAAATCATTTTATAAATTGATCCAAAACTACTTTATTAAAAACTTGAAATATTAATAGAATTTAAAATCGGTGGCCATTTTAGATAGTAGGCTTTAGGGCCTTAAATTTTTTTTTTGAACCGGAGGTGAGGATAAATTTATTTCCACAAGAAACGTCGGCACGCAGTTCTTGTTGCGGGCGTTAAAAGTCGTCGGAGTTTTGGACGCGGGGCGTCTAAATTTAGCTGGCAAATAGGAAATTTTGGGGGGCCGTACGTATTAACGAATAAACGCGCGGCGTCGCCGGCGACGTATTAGTGGACGCCGACCGACGCTGCCCAAAATAGATAAGCCACACTTTAGCGACTATGGACGTCCCTCTGCCATTTGTAACCTTGACATTGCATTTGATTTAGAAAAAAAATATATATTATACGAAGGGGAATCGTCGCGGGACAATAAAGGGATTTATTCTGTCTATTCATTTCCTGGTTTGGTCATAAAAAATTGTACGGATTTTAAGAAGGTTATAAAAGAATCTTTAGGGACAGTTTGAAACCTTTGTGCGGGTTATAATCAGTTTAAAATATAGTTTATTACAAACATTTTTCATAAAAATTCTTTTAAGATATAAAGATGTTGAAATAAATTCGTGAAGATTATAACTATTATAACGTTAAAATCGGTATCTTACAAAAAGACTTACATAAGGAAGATTTTTAATTTATACATATCAAGCCAAGTGCAGAGTTTTGATCCCATCCTTATAATTAAATGAAGTTGTGATGGCAACACTTATTATTTTGCACACTCGCGGTTAACTAATCTTGTAGTCTACATGAAAAAACCGAACATGTCATGTTAATATGATATTCTCTGTATTGCATATAAAATTGCATAGAAATCAGAGCCTAAATAGAATCCGAACTTCAAATTTGATTGAACTATGACTGAAATCTGTTAAAAATCCCTTACAACAGCGAACGCAAAAAAATATATTGCTTCTGAAGTTGGCTAAATTATTTAAAAATATGAGATTTTACTTATTTTCGTACTCTGTATTGCTATAGAATACACAGACACCGATTTATAATGTTTCATTTTAAAGCTAACAGACTCGTAAGATAAACATACTGGCACCATCTTTGTTCGAACGAAGTTGGAACAAAGGATATGATAATAATGAATAGAATGGCTCTGGATCTAGATTGGTCTTTTCTCATGATTACTTAAGTGGCCTTTCTTTTTGAAGTTTTTGAAATAAGTCTAAAAGCATTTTGATATTTTCACAATTTCAGAAAAAATATATGTAGCGGGATTCCTTAAGTCAATGTATGGCAGTTTTAAAAAAACATACAACTTTCTCGCCCTGATATAGAAATAACGTTTGTTTTTGTAGTCTGCAAAAGCTAACTTATAAAGGGAGTTGTCGTGGCGTTAACAATGGCCTGATATTTATGTTGATTATCACTGTATCAGTAGGTTATTATACAGTGCTTCCCAAAAGTAACAAACAAATTCGTTAAAACAATTAAAAACGGTTTATGGAAAAATCGCTGAGACGGGTCTAAGGATTTAAATTTTTTGATATAGATTTTAAATTTTTCGTGCAACCAAAATTAATATTAGCTACATAAGAAAATTTTAAAGAAAAATTGCCTTAAAGATTTATGATTGTCCATTAATTCGAGGTAGAAAAATAGCAGTAACCATGGTAACCAGTTGTTTCAGATATTTTATTAAGGACCGGTTGTACCAACTCCCGATAAATTTATCCGATAGATAAATTGGCGCACTTAGGACCGGTTGTACCACCTCCCGATATGTTTATCCCATAGATAAATTGGCGCACTTAGGCTCGTTACTACCATCTTCTGGTTATGCTATCTAAGGGATTATTACCACAGTTACGGCTATTTTACGCGTTCTGATTGGCTAGTAGATGGGTTTATCTATAAGATAAATTTAACTAAAAGATGGTAGTAATGGACCTTAGCCAATGAGAGCGTTTAAAACCGCTGTAACCATGGTAATTATCCGCTAAATAGTTTATCGGGAGGTGGTACAACCGGCCATTAGCCAATGAGAGCGCTTAAAACCGCTGTATCCATGGTAATTATCCGTTAGATAGTTTATCGGGAGGTGGTACAACCGGCCCTTAGACAATGATTAATTTTTGATATCTGAAACAGTTTTATAGTTTACTTTAACGGTTTTACCGAATTTATCCGTTACTTTTGGGAAACCTGTATAGCAATGTACTTTATATTAGTATTCATTGTATGCATTGCAGTTACATCAACCAGTTTAGGGCATTTCCAATAGTCAAGATATAGTTCAGAGCTGCCTCCATGATTCCAAACAAGATAAAGTTTAAGGACCTTCAAATTAGATCAGTTACAAAAAAAATGTATTTTACCGTTTCATCTTCCATTCGGCTTGGTTAAAAGATCCGTAGGCATAAGCGGCTAAGATAAATACTTAATAGCTGGTAGCAGACGGGGTATTGTGTAGATGCTTATTTTTCTCACGGTATTTAATTATGTATCATATGATTAAGTGTATACTATTTCTTCTAAATCCTATTTAGTCATTTATGTTTCTTCAACCAAGTGATATCTTAAAACTTCATTTGATAACTGCCAACTGTTGTCGCACTTGGGGTGTTTTTTTGCCAAATCATAAGTTAATGAAGTTATTGTTATATTAGTTAACTCAATATGTTAATGACACTGTCAATATGTATTAGACAAGGATCAAGCCGATGATCAAGGTCATTATTACATTTTTGCATCCCTACAAATTAAAAGCCATTTATTTATTCCTCTAACTCGTCCCATGCTCAGCTTAGGTCTTATCTCCCTTGTTTTCGCTTTTTTAATCTTAACGAGTGGTTTCAAAATATTCACTCGAGTATGCAGCAAAAATAATTTTACAAACATCTCTAAATGTGATTTCGTTGTGATGTGGCAGATTTGAATTTGATTTAAACATCAGCAAGTGTGCTTGGTTAGGTATACTTTGCATATATGATCCATTCTAAATCACCTAATTTGTAGGGAACAAACTGCTTATGGAAGTAGTAAAGTGCAAAAATCTATTGTTGTCTAGTTGTTATCACATGGAAGTTACTACCGCATCGGCTATCTACTGCTTCAAGTTTCTACTTTGTATCTTTTTACTATTTTCAGGTTTTATAATGTTTTTGTTCGGTCACGTTTTCAGCACTATTCATTATATGGGAATACTAAACCCCATTATTTATCATCCTAATTAAGCACTGGCACATTAAGCACAAAATCAACGCCGATTCTTAAGTATCTGACGTACAGAGATGGTGTTTATTACCAAATTTGCAGGTAGCTGCTTGAAGTTCCGGTTAGACCTTTCAATCTCGCTTCTATTTTCAAAGTGCCCAGATTTTTTGATACATTTTCTTATTGGACGCGTTTCCATTCAGTTAACAAAACGGAATAACTTTCTATCAGTTTTTCTATTTTGAATTGGAAATGATTGGCTACAAGTTTTTCTGAAAAGACGTTAAGATATTACCTATTCGTACTTCACTTCGGGTTATGAAGAAATCAATTTTTTCTTCTGACCAAATCTAAATATAATATTAATGAAAGTAGTAAAACAGTAGAAAGAGTAAAATTTGCTTTGACGCCTTAAATACTTTTAGTATTTATTTAAATATGTAATAAAATGTTTTTATAGAGGTCGATGAACTTTTGATACTAATACCGTTTATTTCTTGAGCAAATGTCACCTTAAATTAGTTTTAAAACCCAAAATTATATTTTAAAATAGAAATAAATAAGGGGAAGAACTATTTTTTTTGTATTCTTCCTGACGCCATCAGTCGTTGAGGCGTTTGTCAAATCCAGCAGTAAATTTAAAGCGCCAGCTGTGATTTGAAAAATCAGAGTGCACAAAACTAAAAATACCGAACGTGCGACCTCTCTCTCCCTTTTCTTTTTTTTTTTTCGCATCGTTCTCTCTTGGTTACTTTTACTTTGCTGTTTCCGTGCCGTCGCGACGGTTTTTGTACGCCATTTAAGGGAGTTAGCGCCCTGGCGGCCATGTATCCGGTAGCTCAAGACCAGGTGTGCCTCAGCATCGGGACGTCCTTTGGGAAAGGACGTCCAGCCCATCCCAGAAACACACTCCAATTCCTTCCCATTTTTTTTTATTATAAGGGGTGTGGTTCACGCGGATTCCTCGACGGTAGTATTTACCATAAATAGATGCATTTGAAAAACACCTCTAAAATGGAGTATGTGTATTAGTGCACACATGTGAGGAACCCTACGACAGATGCGAAGACTCCGCCCTAGATGTATCTTTATATCCTAAGATGAAATCTTTGCTTACTTTTAAAAATACTTTTGTAAATACTTTTATAATTATTTTTAGAAAGGATTGAATAAAATTGTTAAGATTTAAAAAAAGAATGAAAGGTTTTGGATTAGATATTAGGATAAAGATTTGTGAAATGTGTTTCCTTTCCCCAAAACAATGTGGTGTTAATAGCGGTTACCTTACGAGGTTTACATCGCACGATGGGGGCCCAAAAACCGAGGGGGGAGAGGAAAAGGAGGAGTTTGAAGGGGATCAGACGGCGAGCGGTCGACGACGACAGAGCGAAAACATGACAGTGATCCATTATGGGTTGCGGGGGCGGGTGAAGTTGCGTGAGGTAAGGGCCAACAGACGGATAGCCGCCGCAATGGTCAGCCGGGGTCGTTAGGGCGACTAGACGGGGCCCAGACGGGCCCCCAGACACGGGGTCCCAAACGAGCTCTACTACTCCGGAGGATATCTCAGCGTACTTTTCCCCCGGAAAACACGGCCCCTTCTATTCTTGTTTACCCGCACGATTTCCAAGGGAAAAGGGACCAAAACAATCTTGGTATATAGGTTACTGGAATTGCATAACATTGATATTCTGTTAACAAAAAAAGGTCTTTGTAATAAAGTTGTTAAGATAA